CAATCCTAAGGGTGACTCATCTTGAGTTTCCCCACAGTGACCCCACCTACTAAGTATTTAGAGGTTGAGAGCAATATGTGGAACTCCAAGTTGAGTAAAGAAGAGGGTAGAATTTCTAATCGTGAGGGTTCCAAGTCTAGTTTTCTAGGAATAGTCAAAAGGAAAAGTCCTATGGCTAGACCCTAGGCTATTAAATAGGAGGAACTAAACCTCAACCAAATTGAAGTCAACACACCAATATTTTCTATTAGATTTACTTAGTCCCAATGAACATACTAAGCCCAGCTTAATGTGTTCCATAATTTCATTTAAACCGTGGGAAGCTTGTTAGCAACCGTAGGTTACCTCCTCTGAGGGATTCCCGATCATCCGATAGAGACATCTTAATTTAGTTACAATTGTAGTTTTGTGTGGTGTTTGTGATTAAATTTTGAGTTGTTTTATATTTTGAATGTTGTGGCGGTGGATTTTATCTTAGTTGATTTTAGTTTTGGTTTTGGTTAACATACAAGTTTATGTTGTTTTCATACATGCAAGATTAAAAAAGAAACAATGTAAGCATAAAGAGAGGCATGTAAGGAAAAGGTACAAGAAAGACAGTAGTATAAACTGTAAAAGCGTACCTAGTGATTCTTCTCGTTCCACCAATTGAAACTTAAAAATGCATGTGAGGGCATTTATGAAGAGCAAGAAAAGTAAAGTTATGGTGGCCTCCCTAAATCTATGTTGTATTCTGGTGAGTCCTTAAAAGTTTAATTAAGGATGATTTCATTAAACAAAGTATATTAAGTTTAATAGACCTCTGAGGTATCCATCAAGTTAGGAGGAGGAAGCAGTTCCATGCCTCCCTCTCACCAACTGGTGAAAAGCCTCGAGTCCATTTAAACTTATTATGTTGCTTAATGGTTCGTCCTGTGAATACTTCTAATGCTCAGTGAACATTGATGTCTTAATTATCCCTAAGAAAGGGGTAATTATCATTTATCATTTAATTTGAAAATTATGTGAGTGAATTCCCCTAAGGGGCAAGTTAATGTAACCTGAGTGCTTAGCCAAATTTTTAATCCTAATTGGGCTTAGTGGTGTTTCAAGGATGTTTGATATAATTATGTTTATTGATTTAGCCTAAGTCACCACTAAGCCCTTAAGACCTAGGTGAGTGTCTTAATTAGTTTTGAAAAGATTAAGCTTTAAGTAGTCATGATTCATGATTTGGATTGTATTTGAAAATCAAGATAGGGGTATTAAATTCATTAATTATTGACTTCAAAATTCATACCCCTAAGTCCGGGATCATTTAATTTTAATAAACTTCCAAATTTTAATAATTTAGAAATTTATTAATCTTAATCAAGAAAGTGAAATTGATTTCTATCAATTAACTGGGTTAATTGATTGCAACACAAGGGGTTAATTGGTAGAAATCAATTTCACTTTCTTGAACACTACTCAAATTTGTAGCCTCAACCCCTTCATGAAGTTTCTTGCAAATACAACTTCTGATATCCCTCTCAAACAACATAATAATATCTGAAATTTTTCTAGATAATCCATGACTGACCCTTTGTGGATCAATGCAAAAAACTGCTAGTTTAAATCCACTTGTGTTCCTGAATCGGTCCAACAATTGATAATTGAAATCTTCCAAAATTTTGATTAGCTAATATTGTTCTCTCCATTTATACCACACTAGAGCCTTCCCATCCAAAAATAGGGTCACCACCACCATCAAATTTTCTTCCTTCATCGGCAAATTAACAACAAAGTATCTCTCCACTCGATAAACTCAACCATAAGCATCCTCACCCTCAAAGATCAGTATCTATGGCTTCCTTATGCTCGAGTCTCTTCCCCAATTTCCTTGACCGAAGCTTGCTCCAACCATGAAGTGGTGGTAAGGTTCCCTTCCTCATCCCGTATTGATATCCCTTCTTCCATAACTTTGGCTCGCCCCATAATCAGATTGTCCCTCTCCATAGGCTTCTGAATCGGCTTCCGCCTAAAAGGTTGTCGCGATTGTCAAGCAAAAGGCCCTTATACAATTGTATGCAGCCCTCAGTCCGTGTCCCACCCACTATGGTTCCCAGCTCCAAATCAAAATCCTTTGAATTGATCTTTTGCAATCTTGAATCGCATGCCACTGTCTTGTTCTGCATGTTGTCACTAGCTCCAAGCCTCTTGATGTCGTATTAACCCTCGGCCAAATTTCTTCAAATTCGTCTTCTCCAAACCCAAATTGCACACTAGCCGACATTTTCGCTGGTTTCAGGCCTCCTGATGTGGTATGATACCTTTATGTGGTTGTCGCTGGAGTTCGCTTCAGACATCGCACTTGATCCTGCAGCCCCAAATTCGCCTAGGGCAACAATGCTTCCCCTAGCGTAACCTTGATGTCGTGTGATCCTTTCCGCTTGTTGCTACTAGAGCCTGATGTTTGATCCTGTGACAAGCAATAGAGGCTTTGAGTGGAGCTTCGCAATCTTCATCATTTCTTCCAAGGCCATGAATCACCCCATCTATGGGCGAGAACCACTCCTCTAGATACGGGAGCTGCCCCTCCATGGACAAGAAATGTTCCTTCATTCCATATATGATTTGGCTCCTCCCCCTCTAATTTCTCCTCTAAAGCATCGATCTTCTTACTCACCATTACTCCCATGTACGGCTCTAATACCAATTCAATAGAAACTAGACGAGTTTCTGTAGAAATTAAGGCAATAGAATATGTTATATTCCACCAGTATCAAAACAAAACAACACAATCCCAAATACTTAAAAGATAGGCCTACATTTGAGAGGTAGGCGAGTATCACCCAAACCCTAACTCCTAAGATTCCTGACAACAATCACATACTCTACCCGTAATCATATTAAGCCCTATTTATACTAAATAATAATAACTAATAAATGACTAGATTGCCCTTTTAGCGTTTTGCCTAAAATAAGCCTTCAAATTTTTTGGCTGACTCGGCATGGCAGAAAGCGCCATTAGGGGGGTTTAACACATTTATATTTAAAAAATATAGGAATAGCTTCCATTTTGCTCTAAAGTAGCAAGGAAAAAAGGTACTTTTTAAAAACCAGCATGAAATAATGACATTTTACAGATAAATAAACGCATAATACAAGTCCAAAAACAAGTTTTCTTACTTTGCTAGAAGAACTGGAATCTGGAAGTTTTCCATCAGAGACAAAAGTTAAGCTATTGTTTAGCACAGGACCCTCATTGGCATTCACCTGGTTCCCTTCGTTTTGAAGATACAATGACGAATCAGCTTGGTTTTCACGAACAATCTGGGAGCTATCTTGGTATACTCCATGCCTCCCTCTTAACTCGGCTAGCTCCAAATGAAGTTGTTGTATAGTTTGCAGATGGTGACGTTCCATCTCCACAAACTAACACGAAGAAATGAGCAAGTAATTACAACTCAACATCAGACAACATTAAGATGCCAAAACAAAAACATTATCTTTTATGTAAAGATAGACTAACTTGTTGTTGCAAAACAATCCAATATTGATTAAACTGTTCGGTCCGTTCACGTAGTTCAGCTTGCAAGGACCTGTTTGTTGTTGATTGCAAAACATCCACCTCCTGGAAACGTGTCATCCATGCTTGCACCTCCCTTAACTGCTCATCCTTGTAGAGGATTGTTTCTTGAGCAACTCTGTACTGCAAGAAAAAAATTAGTTAGCATTTCCATGTTTTAAGCAATTTATGAACCATAAGGCAAAAAAAAAAGATCTAAAGTCAGAGAAAAATCAAGCCAGACAGAAGCAATTGTGATAACTTATATGATCACTGGCCATTGTCGGATAGATTATAACGTCCAGAATTCACATGGAAGCAGGCAGTCAAATTATAAATTGCTTATGCCATATTAGATGTAGTGTAGTCCAATAGATTATAAAAACAAACTTGCCATCTCTTCATTACATTTTTGTCAGTTCTCTACTAAACAGTAGAATTTTCAGGCAGTCAAATATATTCAAAAATTTAAAAAAAAAAAACTTCCATCAAACATTTCCATAACTTAAGAAGAGAGGCGGTCAGTCATAGGGAGATTTGGTTTATTACTGATAAGAAATGGAAGCTTCAACTCCATCGTCAATCCATGCTGCTAGATATTTTCTTAAAAATCAATTTCAATATGAGGGCAATAAGTCTACAACCCTAAGATCAAATTAAGGTTATACCATTGCACGAATAAATTGATTGCTGGCCCAATTGAAAGGAAAATTGCTGATATGTAAATTATTTCATTTAGGAATAAGAAAATTTTCTTTGGGCTACAGCAAACTAAACACTCTCCACATAACTTAATAATTAATGTGTTCATTGAAATAAGAAATTACACAAAATTTTAATTTTTTAATTTCTAACTATACGATTTTCTTTCAAATACAGTTGAACGATGGATTCAATTTGGAGAAAAGTCCCAAGGGTCCCCTAATTTTTTTTCAGGATACATTTTAGTCCTAGAATATATAAAGTATCAATTTAGTACCATACTAACAATGGAAGGATAAAATAGTCCTCTCTGGGGACTATTTCAACCCATATAAAAAGGGTATGAAAACTAATTTAGCACATTTAAAGACTCTGTGACTAAAATGATCCCATTTAAATAGTCAAGATACTAGTTTGGCACTCTACTAATTCAATTGAGTACTGACACTCCAAAGCTATACCATTTTGCTATTAAAGTATTGGAATTTACTTTATCTTTATTTGGATGCAAGAACTAGAGAAGCACATATAATCAAATTCACACAAAAAGAAAAAAAATCATCAGTTGACCTTTAAATATGAATTTATTAATGTATATCCTGTACAAAAAGAGACTGGATAATAAAAAATATGAAAGAAAAAAAAAGGTTTTAAAGATGATGAGTATACCCTACTACATGAATATGTAATCAGATGAGTGGTTGGTAAATGATTACAATGTGATCAGACCAAGAAGATTTGAACGTTGCTTTTTTGGGTTAGTAAGAAATAAGAACATGGCTGGTACATCGAGTACAAATCAACAAGAGGTGAAGATAAACGATGCTCATAAAAATTTAAGTAATTGCTGTTCTAACTTAAACTAATTTATTTAATTTCTTTTTTATTATAACTGACTAGGAAAGAAAAAGATGAATAGGATTGAAGAAAAGATGGAAGAATGATAGAGCTTGGACTAAACTGAAGAAGAGAAAGGAAAGAAAGATATTTATTAGGATGATGACTTCAATCAAGAATAACACAGTGATGAGTGTGTTGCAGACTTTGAATAATTTATTATTGTTCATATTTAGATCTATAGATGGTGTTGCATCGAACAATAGAAGTGAGAATTTTCTTATGCTAAATTTATCTTATGTCTTACTTTGATTTGATGTTTTATGTTAGTTCGATCAATTGATGTATGCATCACACTTTCACTTTGGGTAATTAGTTGTATAATCTTTTTGTGGCTTACTCAGTTTCTTATTTAATATAGACACAATTATCACTTACTTGTTATGTTAGAATGTTAATGTCTTTATTTAATATATTTTTAAGTTATATAGAAATAATTTATCACTTCTTGCCATGGTAGCATGTTCATGTCTTTGTTTAATATATTTATAGGTTATGATGTTAATATAGTCATCTAACTATAAGGCATACGCTTCCTTATGCCTCAAGGCTTATGCCTCCTCTCACGAAAGAAAGAAGCTTCAATACCAAAAATTACATAATTTTAAATCTTGTATCTCACGCACCTCCAATGTGAGTGCAAATGCTAAGGTGTGCCCAAACGAGTACCTAGGGATAAAGAGCATACTTGCAATGTAAGCACCTAGCTGTGAGGTAAGAACCTTGTCTTATTTGAAAAAAAAGATTGATAAGAATTTAAACATAAAAAAGGAGTTAGTTTCATAATGATAATTTGGCACGATTTGTGCAAAAAGTAGCATCAAGAATACAATAATCAAGGATGTGCATGAAACAAATTAGACAGTTTGTATATTTAGAAGGTCCAACTTTTATGGTAATGAATGTTGAGTAAAAAAAAGAGTTCGAATATATATTTTTAAGGAGTTCTCTTAAACACCAGACATTCAAAGAGTTAACCTTCCCTGATTCTATCCATACTGTTTCCTAAATCATTCAAGACCATATAGCAAGTTATACTTAAGCATCAAACACACTCAGAATAGTGCATTATTTGGCAATGATATGTTGTTTTGTGTGGTTTGGTCTAAAAAAAAGGAGCAGCCCTCCCTCGAAGATCAGCTAGCTGCTACACAAGTTTTTCCACCACGAAGCCACCAAGTCCAAGGAGGAGGTTGAAATAAGTTGCACTTTTATAGGAAAATCATAATAGCAAATCCTAAAGCTTTACTAAACAAGGTTCAAGAATCACACAACGTGTGTCCAAATACATCGCAACTCTTGAAGCTGGGAAAAACACCCTAAAGAAGCAAACAACATAAAATAGCTACAAAAATGAAATAAGATGGCACTAGAAACAGTAATATTCAATGTTTAAAAAATTGTTCAAGGCGTGCACCTTGAAGAGCACCTCGTTTAGCGACACAAAAGGAATGCCTCGAGACTTAAGCCTCATTATTGTGGGTGAGATTCATGTCTTTTTGAAGCGAGGCATACACCTAGGCGCACGCTACAAGGCCCAATGCCCCGAGGCATTTGCCTCAATCCCGACTGCAACATCCACCTCGCCTATTCGAGCATCATCTTGAGCTGGTTCGAGCATTGCTGCTTCGACATCATCGAGACAGACATCTCCCCATTGAGCGTCGAAGTCTCGTCCAAGCCCCTTACCATTATTGTTGAAGCATCGCTTCGTTTCTCTATTGAATGTTCCTTCCATAGCCTATTCTCCTACATTGTTTTCTTCTATGCCGTCAACTGGACTTTTCCAAGACTTCGTCTTCTTCGACGTGAGCTTTCTGTGAGCTTCCCGTTAGCTTCCTGTTATCGAATTTGATAAAACTTGGTGGACTCTTTAATAGCAACTTACTATTTACATATTTAACTTTGACCCAATTTTCTCATCAATATTACTTATACCTTAAATTTATTTTTATCCAATGGTTTTAAATAACTAAATATATTAGAATTTAATGTAAATTTTCATATTTATGAATTATGATTAATTTTATAAGTTTATAATTCTTCTCTTCTTCTGTTTAGAGGCGTAAAGACTCGCTGAGAAAAAAAACCAAAATTCCCGATTTTGTCGTTTTAAACATTGGTATTATTAACTGGAAATTAGCACTGTAAAACTAACAAACTCAAAGAATCTGATGGTTAAAAAAATAGAATGAAAGCAAATGAACAACTATTAGTTTTATATCATCAATAGCAAGGAAACAAGAAATCAGTAAGTAATAGTTCAACACAACAACAAACCTGCTCTTCTAATGCAAGAAATTGACTCTCTTTGTCTTGAATATGCTCTTGGAAACCATGAATTTTTTTAAGAAGTTGGGCTCTTTCAGACTCTGAGTTATCACGCTCCCTTCTGCAACAAAAAAAATGTAATAGTTTTAGAATATATATTGTAATAGTTTTTTCTATCGAACACAAGAAGCTTATCACTATCACAAATGCCAAAGTGATAGTTATAACAAAAAAATGCACAATGCAATGTTACGAATAGCATAAAATCTAAAAAGAGTATAGAGGTGTAATGAAGAGATTGTCATTACCGGAACTAAATAAAAAAATATGTTAGATTTTCAATAGTCAAGGAAGAAGTAACAAAACAATGTGCAGAAAGTTCATGAAATGCTGTATCATGATATTAGCATCACATTAATAATTTGAATTTAGCTGTATTACACAAAGAAAGATATGCTTACTGGAACAATGTTGTAGAAAAAAACATGGAAGAGTAAATCATTATATGGAAATTAAAATATGAGGAATACAGATTTAGATGGGGTAAATATTTAAAGGTACATTGTAATTTAAGATTTGAACTGGGTGAGAGGATGGAGAGGATCGGCAATCACCTTACTCCTAGAGCATTATCTCGCTCCACTTGAGCAGAGCCAGCTTCATGAGCAACAAAGAGTCACAGACTAATAGTAGTTAACAGATTGGTAGTTCGTTACTACTTTTAAGTAATAGTTTTAGCCACAAAGCGGTTTTTATGGATGAAAGTATAATAATAGTATAGCAAATCAAAATTATATTTTAAAAAATCATGGAAATTAAGACGCATTAAATTCGTTAGTGAACGTGAAGGTTGGCAAAGAAAGATCATAAGGCCAACACAACAACTATTGCCCACAAAAGTAAGAAAGGGGAAATAACAGCATACCTGAAGGTGGCCAGCTCTTTGTTTTGTTCTCTGAAGAGATCCTCTTTTGCCCAAACCTAAAAGATAAAATAAAAGAGAAAGTGATGTCTATGCGTCTGAAGACTAGTCCAAGCATTGTTGACAGAGGAGTACGCAAGTTAGAAAAGGCAAAACAAACCGCTTCATTGTCTATCTTAACTGCATGTAATTCTCTATTCTTCTCTTCCAAATTCAACTCTAATTCACGTATTTCTTGTTCTCTTTCTTGTAGTTGCTCCTGTACATTGGTTGCAGATGATATACATAAGAAAAAAGGAACTAAACCAGTAGAAAAACAATTTTCTTGTTATTGAGACCACAATTCTATGTATAAGGTAGAACGATAACATATAAATAAAATTAATCATCTCAATTTAAAGATAAATAAATCATCGGTGTATCGCAAGATCGAGACTACAAGAATGAATCATGAAAGATTAACAGATGTTTTCAAGGCGACTACAGGTGACAATACCATAGAAGAATGGCTACATGAAAGCAAGATCAGGTTGTAATAATGCGTTGCGTCTTTGGGAAAGTATATGAAAGGCTACACCAAAAGTATAATATTATCTTCTGTGATATTTCTTAGTACACTAAAATAGGATATTCTTATTGAGCACAACAGGATCATTTCATGATAATTCTTTGGCTTGATGTTTTAGGTAAATAATTACATCAAATATTACTCTTCCCTCAATCCACCTGCCCCAAACCTCTCTCCTCGCTTAAGCGAGAATCATGGTACTCTCAGTTAAAAAAAAAATCCTAATATCTCAGTTATTGTACAAGAACCTTGAACTCTCCCACTCCAACATATAAAGTCATAACTCCCTCAACCCACCTTCCATGAACGTTAACACTATCAACCAACCATAAACCCTAACTGCCTACCGGTAAAAGCCCCAGAAAACACCAAGCCCAAATCCACTCTTCAACTAGGAGTTGTACAACCTCAACAAACATCAAAATATATTGGAAGGTCATCAGATACTATATTTAAGTTTCAATTAACATTGGTATTGGAGCTATTTTCTCCACATATGGATGGATGAGATGAATTAAGGATGCTAATCATAAAATCACCCTTTTTGGAGCCATGAGATCAAGGGAACTCCCATTATGGATCCTCCATGTGCTGATCCTAGCCAAACACTAGCCAGGGCTAATGGTTTAGGGGACCATCCACATGAGTTTCCAATAGAGTAAGGGATCAAGCTAGGCATGTTTGGTTAAGTGTTGAGGTTGTGAGGAAGGTGAAGAGTATCAAGTGTTTGTGTGAAAGATTGACCAAGAACACACCACCCAGAGCTAACCCTAAAGCCAAACAGTCCAATAGGGACACCTCTTCAGGTCCCCCATATTGACTCCACCTACTAAGTGCTAAAGGTCATAACCACATGTGAAACTTCAAGATGAGTAAGAGCTCCCCCAACTAAGTGCTAGAGGTCATAACCACATGTGAAACTTCAAGATGAGTAAAGAAGAGTTTTAGAATTTCTAATGGTGAGAGCTCCATCACTAGTCTTCTGTGATAGTCAACAGGAAAATCCTATGACTAGATCCTAGGCTTCTAAAGAAGAGAAACTAAACATCAACAAAAAAGTGAGGTCAACAACCGTCTCCATCAAAAATCTCTAATTCAACCCTAATTGAATCCCTGAGGGGAGGTTCGTGATAGTGGATGCTTTCCTCATGCTCCTCGTGTTCGATTTCTTTTCCTTTCGATTTCGCCAATGAATCTTTGGTCAACCCTTTGAGTAGGGTTTACAAATTGAACTACCAGCGAAGTCTTGAATTGTATCTCAATAAGCTTCTTTATCATCATCGCTCGAATTTTCCTTATGCTCTCGAATCGATCCATTCGGTTCTCTATGAAAGAAAATATGTCCTCTATAGCGGCGAACCTTTCTTCCATCCCATATATGATTTGGTTGATCTCTTACTCTAATTTCTTATCCAAATCATCTCTCTTCTTAGCTATCATTAACTCTCTATCACTAGTGGACGTTGGTTGTCGGATCCAATCACTGACTTCAAAAATTCCCTATACGACCAGATAGTAGAGTTCCACGATACCATCTGTAAGCTGAAGCAATCCTACAACCCGCACGTATGTCTTTCTCCTCCTCTAGCTCAGTCTGTCAACAAAGGCGATAAACTCATGTTAACCTAAAGCTTGCGTCTTTCTCATCCTCCCGCTCCATCCGACAATGAAGACAACAATTATGGGTTCCAGAATGTTGTGATTTGCCGGTTTCGATAACTGTATGTTGTGATCTCGCCGATGCTTTCCTGGCAACCTCTGATATTGATTGTATCGCAGTGTTTGGTCACGAAGGCGACAAGCAGAGCTCTGATCATGACTGTATGCAAAGATGTTTAATCGAGCGATCGTGTGACCCTATGTCAAAATTATCGATAAGCCGAGAGTATCCTTTCTTATGTAGATCTAATTCCCAGAATCTTGAGCTGTGATACTAATTTGTTACGATTTGAGGCAGAATTCGGCACTATTTTCCAAAAAAAATAGGACAAGCTCAATTTTTTTCTTCAATAATTCCAACAACTCAACAAGAATACAAAAATAAGCACCTACAATACAAGAGATATGCGATCTCTCTCAATTCCTACAATTTGAGATATGAAATCTCTCCCAAACACTAGACCTAAGGCTCACGGCTCAATCTCATACATAAAATCATATACCTAATCCTAAACATAACAAGCCTATTTATAACAAACAATAATAATAATAATAAAGTAAATTGTCCATATGCGTACAAAAAATAAATTTGCCCTTAGACTACGTGCCAACGTAACATCCTCTGCTCAAATAGGGCACCAATTCCCACATTTAAGGCATCACGGTCCACCTCAAAGACCTTGTTGAAATTGAGGTGAGCCAAAATTGAGGCCTCAACAGATTCGTTACCTTGGGATTTCAAAATTGCATGTGTGGTTGAAAATAAATTGAACTCATCCTCAATTATTGGCACAATTATAAAGCTAAAATGCATGACGTATCAATAAAAGAACACCAACCATGGAAAAGACATTGTTTCGGTTAAGGATCCTTCAATTGGCTAATCAGGGGTGGCTTCAACCTTCGTTTTATGTATCTCAATATATGCATAAGTGGTAAAATGAACTATAAAATTTACTCTATTCGTATAGAAACACTTTTTTGAATGGATAGAAAAAATTGAAAATTTTGTTGGATGTAATGTCCATGTCCATCCAAATTGTGGTTATAAACTAAAAAGCCTTGAAAGCAAAGGCATTATTAGAGTCTTAGACATTATTAAATTATATATGAATATTATAATTTAAGGTCAAAAAACTTATGTTAATGAGTCTCATAAAATGTCAAAGGCATTATAGAGTCTTAAGACATAACCGTCCTCTCCTAAAGCCAATCACTTATTTAGAATGTTGTATTCCACTTATCAATCGATCTTATACAATATGGTGATATTTTCTACTTAAATCAAACTTGAAAAAAATGAACAATTCATATAATTGGTTGAGCAAGTCATCTGATCATGGAATTGGAAACTGTACTTGAATTTTTTATTTCCAAATTGAGAAGTGAACCGGGCATAAGTTCACCGGCTTTATTCCATTCCCCTTCTTCAAGCACAATAACTTCCAAATCTTTAGATGCTCATTTTTTTTGCAGGCACAGTTTCTCCACCACCACCACCCTAAATATGACATTCACAAAAGTCACAACTCCCCCGACCAACAATGATGTGGCACGCTTTACCCTATATGATGTAGCAAGTATGAAAAATGCAATGCTACAAACAAAGATCCTTCCCTTACTATCATTGTGTTTAACACCTAAAAACAAAAAAAAAAATTTTCATTTGCAAATCACATGATAGTTGGGACATGTCTGAAGCTTCAAAAACAAGTTGATATTCCAATTTCTATAGTATGAGGTTGGTTTCACAAACTTAAATGCCAATTCTATGGGCCTATTCATGACATCCTCGTGAAGGCCACCCCTATTGACGGTCTTAAGACATTGAATATAGAGTTTCATTATTGCCACTCAATCTTCGTTGAGAACTAAACTAAATTGAAACATGTCCAATTATAATTGGACTACATTCATGATTCTTGGGTGTCGTCCTCCAAGGAACCTAGCAAACATATGTTATTCTTGTTCAAAAGCATTACACTTCATCATTAATTGCTCAAAATCGGTGTTTTAATTCTTAATGGATAAGTCCTTCAACTAGAGGTAATGAATTTAAGAAATATGTTCAATAAATGTTAATTCAGGTGGTACTTTTATTGTAGTTCTTTATTTATCTTTTCACATGTAGTAATCTTGCTCTTTCCATCACAAAGGGTTGCGCTTCAAAATCTCTTAACACATGGGTGCATCTATCTTGGTTAGAATACAACAAGCTTCACCTTGTGCTAGTAGGAAATTTCTTTATATTTAAAATATGCATCTATTCAATAAAAACATTAAGATTGAGCCAGTCTTCAAAATGTGTAATATCCACCTTCAAGCAAAGACTTGATATTATCTCAAGATTTTTAGAGAAAGCATAATAACTCCATTTGAGTCATTGTGAACCGTTTGAAAGAATGAATTTTCCTCCTCTCCATATTTTGTGTTACACACACCCTCCCTACTCATAATCCACAAGAAATTGTTGAAGTGATTGGATGTCATGGTGCATGTCCTCCATAATAATTCCTTGCACAAAGACTTGATGTTTCTTTTGAAGCGGCATCCTCTACTTTGGGCTTTGATGCCATGTAGACATCAAAGATAAATGATGCACAAAACACATTTGCAATTACAAAAGAAAAAAATAAAATAATTCAACCTTGACAAGTTAGAAAAATCCACTACAAGAAAAAGAGCTCTAAATTTTAGAAAATGTAAGTGGAATTTCATTCATTAAAATTTATCTTATTCATTATGATTATCCTTCATCGAAAATGTATCCCATCTCTCACCTTCCTAACGTTTAAACAGATGGTATCACTCTCCTAAAAAAGTTTAATACTTCAAACAAGCATTAATACTTTACAACAAAATAGAAAAATATTAAGACTTCCCAAACAAAATGGAGCTCATCATATTCATTACAACAAAATGAATACTTTTTTGAAAGATGATATTACTCAACTAAAAAGTATAATACTTCAAACAAGCAATAATACTTAACAACAAAATGAGAAAATATTCATTAATTAAAGCCTATCTAATTCATTACAATTATACTTCATTAAAAATGGATCTCGTGTCTTTCAATAGATGGTATTACTCTCCTAAAAAGGTTTATACTTAAAACAAGCATTAATACTTTACAACAAAATGAAAAAAAAAATCATTAATTAAAATTCAACTTATTCATTACAATTATCCTTCATTTAAAATGGATCTCCTATCTTTAAATATATGGCATTACTCTCCTAAAAAGGTTAATACTTCAAACAAACATTAATACTTTACAGCAAAATGTAAAAATATTAAAACTTTCCAAATAAAATTTATCTTACTCATTATAATTATCCTTCATTGAAAATGGATCTCATCTCTCTCCTTCTTAATGTTTAAATAGATGGTATTAGCCTCCTAAAAAGGTTAATACTTCAAACAAGCATTAATACTTTAGAACAAAATGAAAAAATATTAAGGCTTTCCAAACAAAACAAATTTCAACATATTTGCATACACCAGTATAGAACCTAGGCATCCAATCAAGGATTTGGATGACCTTGACCCATATCATCGAGGTACAGTTGCAATGCATTCCAAACCAATAACACTTGACATTATTATAATATAACACCGTGTACTTTCCCATAAAATGTCAGAGTGATAGCATTAAGAACAAAAAAAAATAAACTGAAAGGCTAGCATGGAAATTTTTTTCTAGATTATAAAGAAAAAGGTAGATAACATGTTGGACTTCCTTGTTATATGCACAATACAATGTGACAAATCCAAAAAAAAAAAATCCCCTTAGAACTTCAATGCCTGGTTATAACCAATAGAAAAAAGCAATGCAACCTATGGTAGATGATCTCAACATACACAGTGAAAAATAACTGCCACCAAACCCCTCCCGAAACCTTGCATCAGCTGGAGTTCATACACAACATACATCCTGGAATGAATGAGGCTAGAATTTTCACAATTAAAAAGAGAGTGCGAATTAAATTCAATTAGCTAGAAAAGTCATAAGATTTTCTAAAAAAATAGGGAAGTTAAGCTTAATGTCTACTCCTAATATCAAGGAAAATTTTAACTTGTTATCATGATCAAGGAGAATCGAGCCATTCGAATGCAAGGGCCAATACTCCCTCCTCTGCCCCCTCCCACGCCCACTCCCTCTTTCTCTATCTCTTTGCTCTCTCTAACCATTAAACCAACACCACTTCCTTTAAAAATAGTTGACAACCATAACTCCCGTCTTTCAATATGCTCGCTAAGAATTCAATCCTCCCTCACTAAAACTAGAAATCCTAGAAACATTCCACAAAAAATTCTTCTTCAGCTAGTATACAATTTACCATACAACCTTACAAGACATACAATAAAATTTGAAAGATCTTAGATATTTTGCTTAAACATGGTCCATCATTAAGAATTACAGCTAGGAAACAAAATCTTTTCACAGTCATCCCATATCCTAAAAAATGCGTGGAAAGAGAAGGACCAAAAAAGACCATGCAAATAATCACTTCAATGAAGATCTTCGGGACAGGAAGAAACCTAGAAAAACTATTTTCATGGTCAAGAGGCATGCATAAGTTCCTACAGTGCATTTTCCTATTCAGTTGGAGAAGGTTTAAATACATGACAAAGATAACACGCGAGCGACAAACAGCATTCGAACGCCCATTAGTAAAACAAAATAAAATGAAGAACACGATAAATACAAGCTGCCAGCCTGCTACAGGAAGATATATCCATGGCATTAAAAATCATTAAAGCAAGAAATGGATCAGAAACCTTAAGCTTTGCAGCGGCATCTATGTGCTCCTTGAGCTGAGACCCGTAACTGTTATGCATCTCCAATACCTCAGCCCTCGCAATAACTTGCGCCCTCAGTTCAATCTCCAAATGTTGCAGATCCTCCCTCTGCCTCGTTATCTCTTGAATTCTAAGCTGTAAACTGTCTTCTTTCGAACCCTCTCCATTGTTGGAGATCGTGCTGAGATCTATGTTAACAGATCCGGTTCCCTCCTGCACCTTCCCACAATAAACACTTATCTTCAGCGGGCATCATCACCACACAATTTCATTCAATCACGAAACAAACATAAACCACACTTCTGTCCCAGTGGCATACCTCATATATCGTCCTCTCATCCGTCTGCACCAATTTAAAATTCTCCAACTCCTGCAAATGAACCATACATTAACAAACAAACCCAGACTTAAAAGCTGATAAGAGAAACGTTAGTTCTTTCTTACCTCGCCTCCATTTTTCCGGAAAGGCTCTGAGATGACACGCCATTCCTTCCTCGGTGGAGGGTGGGAGGAAGGCAAGGGAAGCGATCCGCTGCGGCCAGCGGCAGCCTCCATTCTGATACCAAAAACTGTCAGATTCCTCAGCTGAGTTCCGGCTCGATGTAAAACGAGACTGCTCAGCAGCAAACTAAGTAAGCATTTTTGCGCAGCCGGTGCCCAAACCAGTGCTGGCGACGACAAAATCGATGGAGTTCCACGAGTAATCTCGAAAATTTGGAAGATGACGGCGGCCTCAAAAAACCCTAGCCTGGACAGAGAAAGGAGAAATTAGCATAAAGCTTTAGGTGCGTTTTAGGAAGGAAGCTATAATTTATTAATAATTCCTTCTGCAAGATAAATTATTGATCATCGGCTAATCCGGATAAGCTGATTGATGTTTTGTCTGTGTTCTTTGAAAATAGCTCATGCTCAACAAATTATGGATAAATAAACATTTTGCTCCTGTACAATTGTTATTTTAACCCTCAATTATTGAACTAAGGTAAAATGATACTTTTTTAATGTGGTATCCCTCCCCTACCACATCTCACCTACATGTCACGCCCCGCCAATATTATGATATGATGGAGTATTCTAGAAGATGGAGGCCTAAAGAACAACCTAGAAGAATCTAGAATATGTCTGTACATATGAATAGTGTAGAACTATCTAGAAGCTAGAATATTATATTGTAAAGTTCTCATTGGAGAATAGTCTCACATTGGCAATATGTAAGGCCAAAGTCATGGAGGGAGCTATAAATAAGTGTCCATTTCCTCATTCTAAGGCATGAAAGGTTTCAAGCTTTCAAGCTTTGTAATCTCTTTTTATTAGTGAAGTTTTATCTTCTCTAACTCTTTTTCCTATTCTACTTTCAAGAGAGTGTTTTTGAGTTGTTAGTTGGAAAGATTAGGTTGATTTAGTGCTAAGAAAGAGCGCTAAAGCCGCACGGATAACTCGAGGAAAGTTAGTCCGTGACAGTTGGTATCAAAGCCTTGGTTCGAGGGAATGGCGAAAAGTGTCAAGGAGCACGTGATGGAGTCGGAAGCCACTAATGTGGAGTCATCTCAAGGGCGAGGTCGCCAGGAGCAAAGGGACCCCGTTGCCCCCAAGCCACATGGAAGGTCTAAGGAGATCATGCATAGCCTTGATTCACGCCTTGCTCGGATGGAGGAGGCCATGAAAATGGCTAAGTTGTAGGAGGATTTTATTGGGAAGCTCCAAGAAGTGCGAAGTGCCCACAAAGGAGAGATGAATGACATGCGTCCTAGCTTAGAGGAAATGTGTGGGGACATTTTGTTGTGCAAAAGGGCACTAGCAACACCTACCAACCATCAAACCTTCGAATCTAAGAGGATTGAGGTGCCAAAACCAAAGAGTTTTGGGGGAACTCGTGATGCGAAAGAAGTGGACAACTTCTTATGGGGTCTGGAGCAATACTTCAAAACAATGGGGATCACGGATGAAGAGGTAAAAATTCAGTTTGCTACTCTTTATCTTTCAGATATTGCTATGCTATGGTGGAGAAGAAGGCGAGGAGATGTTGAAAAAGGTATGTGCACTATCTCCACTTTTGATGACTTTAAGAAAGAGTTAAAGAGGCAATTCTACCCTGAAAATGAGGAGGATGAGGCTAGAGCCCAATTGCGAAGGCTCAAGCAAGTAGGATCGATTCGAGAATACATCAAGGAGTTTACTAGTTTGATCCTTGAGATCCCTGATATGTCAGACAAGGATGCTCTATTCAACTTCATGGATGAACTCCAACAATGGGCAAAGACTGAACTTAGGAGGCGTGGTGCAAAAGATCTCGCTTCCGCCATAGCGATTGCCGAAAGCCTGGTGGACTACACAAAAGAGTCCAAAAAGCCAAAAGATAAAAAGAGCAACTATGTCAGAAGCGGAGGCGACCGGGAGCCACACAAGGAAGAGAATCATCGCGAATCGGCCTCATTCAAAGCAAGAGACAAGGGGAAGTTTAACAACAACAGCAGAACTAAACCATACAACAGTTGTTTCCTTTGTGGAAGACCACACTGGGTAAGGGATTGCCCCCAGAAGAAAGCGTTGAACTCTCTTCTTGCAAGCCATCAAGAAGTGGAGGAAAATGACACGGACGCTCAAGTAGGGACCATACAACTACTCAATGTCGTACACTCTTCTCCAAAAACTCCAGCAAAAGGACTTCTCTTTATAGAAGTGACTATAGGGAAGACATCCACTAATGTGATGATAGACACATGAGTTTCTCACAACTTTATGCCTATTGAAGAAGCAAGGAGGATGGGTCTGCAAATAACGGGAGGTGGAGGCTCCATCAAGGCAGTTAACTCTGCAGCTAGGTTAATCCGTGGAGTGGCTAAAGGAGTGAAGACCTGTGTAGGAGATTGGTTAGGTACGCTAAATTTCTCCATCATTCCCATGAATGATTTCAAAGTAATCCTTGATATAGATTTCTTGGACCAAGTAAGGGCCTTCCCGATACCGCTTGCCAATAGCATGTGTATCATGGGAGGCGACCAAGCTTGCCTTGTACCGACAACAAGGGCTAAGCAGCAGAAGACCAGGATGTTGTCAGCCATTCAATTCAAGAAGGGCGTTCGACGAGAGGAGGAGAGCTATTTGGCTATCCTTCATGACTCCGATGAAGAATTGAAGCCAGACGAAGTCAAGCTAAAGGAAGTAGTGGAAGTACTTGCAGAGTTCAAAGATGTGGCGCCACCAGAATTACCAAAGGAACTACCGCCTAGAAGGATGGTTGATCACCAAATTGAGCTAGAGCCGTGGACTAAGCCACCAGCAATGGGAGCTTACCACATGGCACCTCCAGATAATCAATTGAAAGAGTTGTTAAAGGCGGGATTTATCCGACCGTCTAAAGCCCCCTTTGGTGCCCCGGTTCTATTTCAAAAGAAGAAGGACAGCTCCTTGCGCATGTGTATAGATTATCGGGCGCTGAACAAAGTTACCGTGAAGAACAAATATCCAATCCCTCTCATTGCCGACCTTTTTGATCAACTTGGGAATGCAAGATCGAGCTGGAACCAGGGACTAAGCCACCAGCAGTGGGAGCTTACCGCATGGCCCCTACAGAACTGGCAGAACTGCGCAATCAATTGAAAGAGTTGTTAAAGGCAGGATTTATCCGACCGTCTGAAGCCCCCTTTGGTGCCCCGGTTTTATTTCAAAAGAAGAAGGATAGCTCCTTGCGCATGTGTATAGATTATCGGGCGCTGAACAAAGTTACCGTGAAGAACAAATATCCAATCCCTCTCATTGCCGACCTTTTTGATCAACTTGGGAATGCAAGATATTTCTCAAAATTGTATCTCCGATCAGGCTACTACCAAGTGAGAATAGCAGAAGGAGATGAACCAAAGACCACTTCTGTGACAAGGTATGGATCATTCGAATTTTTGGTGATGTCTTTCGGACTGACCAATGCTTCTGCTACATTTTGTACCTTGATGAACAAACTATTCCAGCCATACTTGGACCAGTTTGTTGTTGTCTACTTGGATGATATAGTGGTGTATAGCAACACTCTCCAAGATCATCTAAAACATCTCCGGGACGTAGTCAAAGTTCTTAGAGAAAACAAGCTATTCATCAAGAAAGAAAAATGTTACTTTGCCAAACAAGAAGTGGCATCCTTGGGGCATAGGATAAAGGAGGGAAAGCTCATGCTGGAAGAAAGCAAGGTCAAAGCCATCCAAGATTGGGAACATCCCACAAAGGTACCTGAATTAAGATCCTTCTTCGGACTTATTAACTACTATCAACGATTCATAAAGGGCTACTTCGCAAAAGCTGCACCGTTGACGGACTTACTCAAGAAGAACAAGTCGAAATGCTTCGGATTTTGCTATTAGAGGGGTACTCATGCAAGATGGACACTCAATTGCCTACGAAAGTAGAAAACTTAACGAGACGGAGCGTCGCTATACAGTTCAAGAGAAGGAGATGACAACCATCATACATTGCCTCAGAGTATGGAGACACTACTTGCTCGGCTCCAAATTTCAAGTTATGACAGATAATATTGCCACCAGTTACTTCCAGACACAGAAGAAGCTGAGCCCTAAGCAAGCAAGATGGCAGGATTTTCTGGCAGAATTTGACTATGTCTTGGAGTACAAGTCAGGGAAGGCTAATGTAGTTGCAGATGCGCTGAGCCGAAAAGCTGAACTTGCAAGCCTGTCACAAGTCTCCAGCTCCCTCCTAGATAAAATAAAAGAAGGTTTGACTTTCGACCCACAAGCCCAAAGTATTATTGCCTTAGTGAAAGAAGGAAAAACCCGGAAGTTCTGGATGGATGAAGATCTCCTTTACACCACCAGACAACGCATCTACATACCAAGATGGGGCAACTTAAGGAAGGAGCCGATCAAAGAATGTCATGACTCTTTATGGGCAGGACACCCAGGTATGAAGCGAACTCTTACACTACTAAAAATAAATTACTACTGACCAGGGATGAAGGATGGGATAGAAGAATATGTTCGCACTTGTCTTGTATGTCAACAAGACCAAAATTGTTCTTCAACAACTAGGTGGGTTGTTAGAACCGCTACCTATTCCTCAAAGACCATGGGAGAGCGTCTCTATGGACTTCATCTCTAGCTTGCCGAAATCAGGCGGATTTGGGAGCATCTTAGTTGTTGTGGACAGATTTAGCAAGTATGCAACATTCATTGCTGCATCCACCGATTGTACTGCCGAAGAAGCTGCACGACTCTTTCTATGCAATGTGGTAAAGTTATGGGGGATACCACAAAGCATTATCAGCGATCGAGATCCTCGCTTCACCGGAAGATTTTGGACCGAGTTATTCAAAATGTTGGGGTCGGATCTAAACTTTTCCACAAGCTTTCATCCGCAGAGTGATGGACAAACTGAGAGGGTCAATGCCCTCTTAGAGCTATATCTGCGACACTATGTGAGTGCCAATCAACAAAATTGGGCCAAGTTGCTAGATGTGGCTCAGTTTTCTTTCAA